TTAAAGGGCTCATGGCTGTGAGATTGATGTGACAATAAAACATGATTTTATAGATATTATAGGAATATTCAGAAAATGTCAATAACAGAACTAGTATCTGGAGTCAGTTTTTTCTCACTATCAGCCTGTCGGCCGCTCAGTCGTTCTTTAAACTGCTAAACTTCACTTTCAACCCGGCCCGTCCTGATGCTGTTGTTGGGTATTTGCTTAGTGCTAACCAAGTGCTAAACCTCTGTAGGAATCTGCTTTATTTTCTCATATTGTGTTTGTCTTGTCTTGTCCTGGCTGTTGTTTCTGTCGTTCTCGATGCAGTGCTGAAGACAGTGCCCTTTACCGCCCGCACAGCCAAGCGCGGCTCTCGGTTCTTCTGCGAGTCCGCCCTCAATGAGGAGTACCATTACTAAGCTTATAGAACTCTCTCTCCTCTCAAAGGTTTCTGGAATAAAATGTCCTTCACGATTTCTCCTCTCCTTCTGCATGCCTCCTCACACTCTCCTCCCGGTTTTTAACCATCACACTCCACTCACACTTCGGACCTGTGCATGTGCACTGTGCCCGGATCTCACGGTTTTTGGAGACGCACACTGGACGTCTGAGTGCGTGTGGTTTGTGTGGATTGTGTGTATTGTGTGTGTTTCCCCTCCCTGAGCATGACACAGTGTTGGGTTAAACAGTTTCCTCTGCATGGAGTGTGACACCCTCATTCATCATCAGTATTTTATCAACCACGGCAAAACATAATGTCACAGAGAAAGGTCGCTGAGGTCAATCTCACCTGGACTGACTGAGGGGATTTAAAGTGGAGCGTCTCCCCTCATGTAAAGGAGCAGAGATGTCTAGCTGGGTGCTGCTCTCTAGTGGTGGGAGACTGCAAATGTTTACTCATTTATGAATGGAGCTGTAGATTCAGATCCAATTTGGTCGCCCGACAAGCGGCTGTGGCAGAATGTCACTTAATTCATTGCATCTACTGTGCAAGCTTCAGTCATCTCCATGGCAGGTATGATTTAACGTCATGTGTGAGCGCCTGTGGCATTATAACTTGCCTTTTCTGTGTGTTCCAAGTGTCAAAAACCAATGTTTGTGTGTTCATCATCACATCATCACATTATCATCACTGCTGTTGTCAGAGCGTCTCGCATGCTGCCTGCTTCATGCTGCCTGCTTCATGCTGCCTGCTTCATGCTGGCTGCTTCATGCTGCCTGCTTCATGCTGCCTGCTTCGTCCCTGCCGCTTCTCTACGACGCAGCCCCTGCTCTCCCAGTTTAGCCCCGACGCTGTGCTCGGACCTGCTGACAGGCCACCTCTCTTGTCACGTGACCTCCTGCTCGTTTCACAGACTCACTAACACGCTGCATGACATTTGCATATACTTATTCTTTACATTACAGGTGTCTTTCTTTTTCACTTGCAGTCTGTGTGTTTCTAACCTGCAACTCATTCATCGGTTGTGCATGCATGCTTTGTTTGTATGGGTTCTTTTTGGTGAAGATGCTGTTGAATGTAATCCCGCTGTCGACAGGAGGCATTTCTTTTTTTCAGTTCACAAATGCTCTGTGCTGGAAGTTTGAAACGGGCAGTTTTACTTTCCTGCTGGTAGCCGCTCTGCAAAGCAGCCTGGGTTTAGTACAAAAAACAAAACAACTAAATGAGCTTCCTGCCCCCCCCCCCCCCCTCTCCCTGTCAGTTGAATCAGTTAACCTCCTCCAGCTCTCTCTCTCTTGTCATGCCCTCACCCCTATCTCTCGCTTTTCACCCCCCCCATGCAGCCTGCTGCCACCCTGCTTTGCTCTCACAGCACTCTCTGTGCAAAGCCAGTAGGATAAATGTTCTCTTCAGCCGTCTCCTCCTCCATTTTTAACCTCCCTTTTTGTCTTCTCTTTATCCAGCCCTAAAGAAGAATAATATTACTAAATTTCCCAATGTCTACCCGAGGGTAAGGAACTCCTCCAGTAGCACTCCTGTAGTGGTGGATGTGTCCAGAACCTGGCAAGCATCTCTTTATTACCTTCCTGTTTTACCTTTCTTCATCACCTCCCTGTCTGTTTCCCCTCCTCATTCTATCTCCCTAATAACAGAACATCTGAATGTCTGATTCAAAGAAGCTGCTACTCTTTGTAGTTAATTCACCTTTTTTATTGGAAGGGTGTATCTTGATTTACAAAAGCTACGACTCAGATTTTCTCGCTCTCTGTCAGAAGCTCCCAAGTCAGAACCCAAGCGGCTCGTCTCTGTTGTAACACCCAGAGACGGCCGACCTGAGGGGCTTTTTTTCCTCCTGTGTAGACCTCATGCTGCTTTGAGAGACAGGCTACCAGCACAACGAGCATGTGGGCTCATCAAATCTCCCTGACAGGATGACTGACAGCTCTTTTATCCCCYCCCCCCCCCCCCATTCTTCCCCTTATCTCAGATTTGAGGAATCAGCCTTACAGGCGAGCGGACGCTGTGCGGAGGAGTGTCAGGAGACGCTTTGACGATCAGAACCTGCGGCCGGTGAACAACAACAACGGCGAAGTGGTCATGTGATGAGGGAGCGGTGCATGTGCTGGAAGGGAGGATGCGAACGAGTGGTGGTGGTGGGTGGGGGGAAGGAATGTCGGGAAGAGGGAGAGATGGAAGGTCAGATGCAGAGCGAAGGCTGACGAGCGGAAGATGACGAGTGTGGTAGCAACCATAGATATGAGTATGTATATATATTACATAAGAATACGTGTTATTCCATGTCTGCGGTATGGTGCAGATTTTCACGATGAAGGACTGGGAGGTGGACTGAGTTTAAGAGAAGTGTCTGAAAGGTTCATGAACCTTAGACAAGCCAAGTGCCTGAACTTATTCTTGTGCTCTAATGTCGCACTGTGTTCTGTTTGTCTGTTTTTTAATATCCCCACTTTGAAAGCAATACAGTTTGACCTGGCTTTAATTATACGACCTGTTGAAACTGGACTTTGTGGCTTTTTAGAGCCGCGTGAGGAGACGCTTCCTAAATGTAGAATGTACGGGACACGTTCCCTTCAGCTGTCACAGATATTACATCTCTTACTGATCAAGTTCCACTCTTGGTTTTATCTCGGTACATTTTGGTGCTTTCTTACATTCCTCTTACTACACAAACATGCATCTCATGGGGGCTTCTCGTCTTTAAAGGCTTTAAGGGCTGATGATCAGGCAGGAAGATGGTGAAGAGAAATGAATTTTTCAAAACAAGACGTAGGGCCTGTGCTATGAAACAGGATTTGCGGTTATTGAGGTAACTCAAAGTTTTAATCTCAGAGTTTTCAGTGTAACAAAGCTGGTTCACTTTTAAGTGGAATAAATCACCGTGGTTACTTTTACTCCGGAGCAGGTTGAGTTAGAAATGATGGAAAGAGATGTGACCAGCCCAGATAATGAAAACACATCCTGGGTATGTTGAACCAACTTGGTAGCACAGTTTACAAGGATTGTGTCAGGTTAAGTTAAACCAAACATATCCCCGGTTGTTGAACTCGCTTCGTAGTACAGATATCAGGACGATGTTGGGTTAAGTTGAGCTGGATAACAAAAACACATCCTGGGAATGTGGAAGCTGCTTCGTAAAACAGGTTATAAGGACGATGTCAGGTTAAGTTAAGTCAGATAATGACTAGAAATCCTGGATATGTTGAACTTGGTTTGTAGTACAGGTCCCGAGCTAATGTGAATCGCATCCATCAAATCTCTTCATACCGATCAGTGGTTACTGAAGTCTGACTCTGTCGCTCTGAATCCATAAAAGAAGGCGCCTAGTTAAACTAAACTTTACTGTTTATTTCTGTAACAACACAGAAGTTTCACTGGTTTATGGGAACAAATGACCAAGCGTATAAACTGCACGAAAGACATGATCTCATTACAAAACTGGATATAACCCATCCTTGTATTTACAGGTTAATCATACTCCAGGCTACTGTCTGCTCACTTTATTGTAATTTTAAATGTATAGTATTTAACCACTGAAAAGATTCCTTTACGCTCATGTTTCCGTCGAGTCATTCGAGTGACGGCGAAACAGAAGAAAACAAAAAAGTTTCCTAAATGTACAGATATTTTGCTACAAACCATGTTTTTTTTATTTTCCTTTTCACATTTTACCAGATGGTTAATATTGTACATATTGTTTAAACAAAAGTTTTCATTGCCTTGTGCTATACAACTTGAATGTTATTTTAACTTATAGATTTCTTTGTTGTTTCCATTTGTTTTTTTTTTTTGTATATTTAATGAAGCCAAATGCAGCCAGGAATCTACAGTAGTGAGTGAAATCACGTTTTGTAGCAGGATCACGCAGTTCGTTTGTGGGTTTATGTCACACGTGCATCAGAACCAGCTACGGCAACATGCAACACGTTCATGTTACTTGACTCATTGTTAAACATTCAACTGGTTTATGTTTGTTGACCTGTGATGATGAGCTGGATTTGTGGCTCAGTGATGCACCTTGTAATCATCTCCTTCTCTCTTTAACTTCACCGTCTGTAACAGTGTCATTTCTCTAACTGGATAATACTGGCATGTTTTTTTTTAACTATCACCAGAAATGTATTTTAGGCAGTTTATTGTGCTTATTACAAAATAACAAGTGTTTTTTTTTTAAAATTAGGTGATATGAGATTTTCATTGATTATGATCGAATAAACTATTTACATTGACTTTTTGTTTCATTCTGTTCTTGAAGCTGGGAATGTGTGAGAATCCACAGAACACTCGATACTATCAGCTTTGTGGTAGAAGCAGGATGTGATGGTGACTCAAACATTAAAGGTTCAGTGTGGAAGATTAGGTAAAGTTTATCTACTGGCAGGAATCGAATATAAAATAATTCTACTGATGTTTTCACTCGTGTGTTTCATCTGAATTGTTGAATGGACCCTTTATATTTAAACACTTTATATTTACATTGGGAGCAGGGTCATGTTTTTTTTAGTCGTCCAAACTAGACAAACTAAACCCATTTGGAGTTTTTATGATGACTGAAGGCTACCACAGGTCCTCTTTCATATTTGGAGGGGGAGGGATATTCAGCTGCAACATCCAACTTCACCACTAGATGTCACTAAATCCTACACATTGAACCTTTAAGTAATGTGCAAATAAAAATATTTTCTACTTGAGTAAATGTGTTTGATATTAAATATATTTGAAGTATTACAGTTTTTCTTAATTGCCACAACATGTAACCCATTCTCTAAACAAAACTGTCAGCTGTTAAAACAACTTTATTGAATCAATCACACAGTTGAATACTGTTCATCTGGTTGGACACAGTTTGCAAATCTTAATCGCCCATTCTCTAGAACTTCAAACACATTCACTGAACACATTCAGCAGTGTGGTGCACTTTGATCCAGAATAAAACCTAAAGGCCTTAAACACAACTAACACCCTGTTGTCATCGTCTGCACACAACCACTCAAAATTGAGCACAGACACGTCCAATAAGGTTATTGAAAAGCTGGATTCTCCTATTGTTTAGCAAGGGAGAGGCAATTGTTACTGTAAAATAATTTTTTTCATTGTTGCTGCAGGTTTTCATGTTTACATATAAAGTGCAGGAATATGCAAATATCCTACATTAAATATTTGTTTTCCTCCGGGTGCAGTGTTTTGCATTTATTCATGTACTGTGTAATGATTGCTGAGTTGTGTTTATGCATTTATTGACTTGGTGCATTATCTGATGGCAGTGTTTGGTTTTGGGTAAAGATAAAATAGTTTTTAATCAGTTGTTTTGGCTTTAAAGGTTTGGTGAGAGTAGCTTGAATTTTGGGGTTTGCCAAGTAAAGTTCCTTGAGATAATGAATGTTGTGTTGTGGCGGCATACAAACCATATTGTATTGAATATCTGAAGTCTGCCTTTTTGAGAATCCCTTCAAATCTTGACCAGTTGTCACTTGGAGCAAAGACGAACAAATAAGATTTCAGTGGTCAAAGGTCACACTGACCCCGTATGGATCTGGAAAAAAATGTATGTAGACAGAATTTCACTGGCTGGTGTAGACATACAACCACAGGGTGATAACTCTAATGCCACTAAAACACTTGTAGTGTCATAATAGTGTCTGAGTCTCTGCCCTTTTTAAGTGTTTCTCCTTCACCAGTAATGCTGCTGCTGCTGCTGCAGGAGGTGGGGTCTAATCCTACCTGACCACTTATAAAAATATAAAAAACAAAATGAACTACAAAACGTAGTTGAGAAGAAAGTAGATATTTGCTGAAATATGTTGTGGAGTAAAAATGAAAATACCCCAAAATATGTAGAGATACATGTATAAATGTACTTGTATACAGTAATAAAGTAAATGTTCATTACTACTATGACGTGTTTGACATTTATGAATGTCTAAAATGACTAAGAAAACCTTTGACCGTCCTGAACTCATTTAACATCCACAAATGTCATCTACAAAAATACTTTCTTGCATTCAACTACCACAGATCAATTTTAACAATTGAAACCTTTTTGGATCATTCCTCAAGAAAACAGCTGCAGTTAAATTTGATCAAATCTAAAATATTATTGGACAAGTTTGTTTTCACGTACATTTCCGGATGAGAGACACAGTCGGACATTAAGATATGCTTTTAATTGAATATAAAAATGAGGCAATGGAGAACATGTACAACTACAGTCAACTAAAAGATGCTCAGAGATAACAAACCACAAAAGGACAATCTGACATTTAACAATCGATCAGCTAATCCTGATATCAAATTATTCATCAATAAGTGTGTTCACAGGTTCAGTGAATCCTATTCCCATTAAATAACCATTGGAGGGTGTTATCTCTCAGTCAGCTGAGCCTGAAGGGGAATGGTTGGTGGCAGAAGTCAACTAATGCAACAAAAAGGCAGCAGAAATGTGATCATCAAGGTGCATCCAGCTGTTCCAGTAAAGTTCTTCTTCTTTTCTCCAGCTCTCCTTCACTCAGCTCACTGCCTGACGTATCCCAGCCGCCCTGAACGTGACACAGGAAGACACAAAGATTTAGTATTGACATAAAGATTTACGGTAATGACCTAAAAAGAGTCAGTTGCCTGCAAAAGTGATAAAGCAGCTTTTAACCATAACTGTAACAAAAGATAAAGATTGTAGGTCAATGTCAAAACTAGGCAAATAATACAGTTCTGAGGTCATTATGAGATTCATTTTGCAAACTTGCTCAAATGAATATCCTCTAGCTTGTAATTTAGGGGCGTGGGGCTGAAACGTTTGGAAACAAATTTTTTTTAAACCCATGGAGTAACATTTAAGAGGTTACTCAAGTAACATTGGTGGAACTGAAACTACTTATATGTATGTATATATATCAATAAAGGAAATCTACCTCCTCTTTGGCAGGTTTCCTTTTAGGAGACTTCTGTTTAGAGTCGGAGTGAGATTTCCCTCGGGACTTGTCGTTCTCTTTATCTTTCTCTAGATCTTTATCGCGCTTTCCATCGCGCTCTCGTCCTTTCTTCTCGTTTTCAGATTCTGGCGATGCCTGTTTGACACAATTCCAGTCAGTGTTCATACGCCAGCAGCACAGGAACTGTATGGGTTTCCGGGTGTTTCTGTATACTTACAGACTTGTGGCGCCTCTTCTTGCCCTTCTTCTTGTGCTTCTTGGATTTTTTGTAGCTTCTCTCTGGTTTTCATGCAGAAAATGTCAGTAAATGTCAACAGCACTGAACCACTTCTATATGATGATAAACAGATTCACGAAGCTGTGAAAACCACTCACCGGATTCTCCACTGGAGGAGCGTTCAGAGGGGGATTTGGACTGTGACCTCTTTTTCTTTTTGTGATATTCTTCATCCTCAGACTCCGAACCCTGTCAAAACATTACAGTCGTGTAATTTAGAGATCACCAGGCCGTGATATCGGGGAAGGTTATAGATCAATAAACCGTTTGCTCACGGCTCATTGTCTTGTTTCAGAGGTGAGGTTTACTGACCGATCGAGAGCGGGAGCGTTTCCTGTGGTGCTTCTTGGACTTCTTCGAGTGCTTCTTTGTCTTAGAGTGGTGATGTTGGCATTCGTGCTGTTAAGATGATAAACATGTTCAACGACAACATCTTCTTGAGTGATAAATTCAACCTATCCCCATTGTCATGACGTCTTACCTCCAAGACGTGCATGAAATCTTTGAATATCCGTTTCCTCTCTGACTCCAGAGTCACGTCCTCGAAAGCAGATTCTTTTAAGAATCTCTCTCGTACCTAAAATATTAAAAAGTATGATACGACACTGAGTATAATAAAAACTGAAAAGACAACCTCCTACTTTTTTTAAAGAGAGCAAGATAGTGAAGAGAGAGACGTGAATAGAAAACAGTTGGCATTGAGAAACTGTAACAGTATTATTCACACAAGAGACGTACCCCCTCCCATGAAGCCTCTGGCTCCAGCGGTGGTGTGGCCTGTTTCAGCATGTTCTTGAAGGCTGCTTCTTTCCTTTTCATTTTCCTGGCCTCCTCCTTTTCACGCTCCCTCTCTCTGGCTTCAGCCTTCTCCAGTAACTACTCAGAAAAAACTGGGTTAAAACAGGGAGAATGCCTTCCCATAATGCTGAGTTTTCTACAATGTAACATGATAAACCTTGCTCACAAGTCATATGATGCAAAAGTAGTCAAATTGTTAGCCTTGAAACTCAATTTGAACACCTCTAAATATTATAGTACAGTGTGCATCAACAAATGAAGTAATAACATAACTGAATTAAAAATCTAATTGATGGCAAATGTAAAATGTATGGCAGCGGTGGCACATTCATTTTGAATAGACTGAACAGATGGGAGGAAAATATGTAAAGGAAAGCAGTCTTACGCTGTTAAAGGCCAGCTTTATGTTTCCTGCATCCAGTGTGGTGGCTCTCTTATCTGAGCTGATGACTGATCCGAAGTCATCAAAGCTGGTGTTCACTTCAACCAGGAAACTTTTGTCCTTGAGGAGAGAAATGAAACCAAATAACTTGTAGAGGTATATATAAGTACAGTATTTATGTACATCATAACAAAGCTCTCAGAGGACACCTAATATATGCAGATGTTGAGTGTGCACTATGACAATATGCCAGATTTGCACCAGAGGTTTAAGATTCTCACCTTAAGAATATCTTTGATGATCCTTTTTTCATCATGGTAACGAGCCTTTAAGTCTTCCACGTAAAATTTGAACAGATCCAGGGGAGTGGAACCTGCACAGTGGACAGCATTAAGTCAAAATGTGTTCATATGATTTTATACAGCAAAACACTATCAATCAAACAAATGTAAAAACAGACATAAAAATTAAATGTTAAGTGACTGTGGCTAAAAATAAAGTTGATCAACAGTGCACTGCTGTGTTTCATGCAGTATTTACATCCTGAGCTGTGTATGCCTCATTTCTACATTGATGTCACATGCTGTTGTCTGCATGTCACACACACGTGTTTCACAGCGTTCAGCTCGTGAAGCCACGTGCACTGTGAACGGCTGTCTTACCCGGCTGGCCCAGCATGTTGGCAAAGCGGATGTCAGAGCTCAGGGTCGGGTACATCTCCATCCAGGCAGACATGGAGTGAAGCTGGCCATGGTCATGGAGCTCATCCAGGAATTTCTGAGAGAAAACAGCAAAATAGTCCAAGATTAAATAGAAATTGAGCTTTTTTGACCTGGATTCAGATGA